GTCTTTGTCTGTCTCTTTCTCTCTGGTTAGCACACACACCCATAGCAAAAAACATTTTAAAAATGTGTGATAAATATCAATAGCCTCTGTCCTTTTTGACATGTGGTTTTGGGCACTAGATATACAAACTAGCAAATGGTCATGAATCTTGACAGTCGCCCAGCTAATTTGGTGTCTTTCACTAACAGAACCTTCATCCAATCCATTAAAGAAGGTAGAATTTAAGAGGTTATCATTTTGATAAATTTGATAGCTTGCTTCTGTCTAGAATACTATTTACAGTTTTCTCTCAACCACTCAAAATAATCAGCCTTTGTTTCTATTGTTGAAATTTACTTCAACATTCCTTGGGAATAGTTATGGTATAGCTGCATCAAGAACTTTTCTTAACAGGTAGACTTGTTTTCATTCTCCTGGGTTTTTAATGTAAATCTATACCATAGTTTCAATAAAAAACATTTTATCCATTCTGGGGCACTCTCTTGAAATTAACTTGAGCCAACTGATAAAGGTCATAATATCTCGGCTCACAGGATTACACATTTAAAACAAATTCCCTAGCAACACATATGGGGACCTCAGTTGGGTCTGAAAAATCATTTACATCACTTTGGTTTATAGGTTATATACTAAGGCTAGCATTGCTCTGTTATAGGCTTTACAAGAGAGAGTAGCCAAACTAGGGTGGTTAGAGGATTGCACTGGAGTCTGTTGTATTATCTTCTGTGAGGTTGGAGATGGAGGTGAAAGAGCAGCATTCAGGATGTGGAAGGTTATACTGAAGAGCATAAAGAGGTCCCAGAGAGGTAGTAGAAGAGTAGATGGAGTAGAACAGCTCTCTGAAATTTTAATTCCAAAATGGATTCTCATAACTTTTTATTTACCTCCTGAAAAAAAGGTTGTTCTACTGTATCTGAGGTAGCTTTTAGATATCATTGGAAATAACTTTTCCATTCAATTTTCCTAGTTCTATAACCAGATTTTTTATGCATATGAACATGCCACTTAGAAATTTCAATGGACTCCCATTTTTGCCAATGAAGATTGGAGTCACTGCAACATTTGGGGGCCCATTTTCCTAAGTACTTGCAAGGTGGGACAACAAAGGCCTCACACACAAAACCAGGTGTTGTTTCCAAGAGGGCTGTCCCTTACAGGAAACTGCTTGTGATGAGTGATTTCTCACAACTTAAAACCTTTTTCTAAAGTGACTAAATATGCAGGAAGTCTATTGGGTCAAAGTATATTGACCATGGTTATTGCTTAAGGTTTTAACTTTAAGTATATTCAATCCTCTCAGAGTCTGAAAATTCTAGACACTAGGTGGCAGTAGAATGCTCAGAATACCAAGTGGTAGGTATCTTGAGTATCTTTCTGGCTGAGCAAAAAATTTTTTAAAATATTCTAAAGAGTTTCTTTACAATTGCTTCATATCATGAGAGAAATGTCTCAGACAATCCTAAATGGTTTGTAGTTTTCTAGGGACAATTTTCAGGACAGGAAAAGAAACCAACTTAACTTTTAGTTAGAGATACCATATTATGGATTTTTAAAATTCAAAATGAAGACTTTTATTTACAATTAAAACATGCTGAAGTTTTCTTCTAAGGCACATTGTAGGCCTCTAATTCAATGAAAAATTATGCACCAATGAACCATGATTTGGCCTCTCAGAAAACATGGACAAGATCACAAAATATGTTGGGATAAAATTTGTTCTGGCAACAACTTGCCATATCATTCTTGTTGTGAGTCTTTCATAGAAGCTTTAAAAACCTTTTCAATAGTAAACACATAGAAGATGCATAGATGATGGGAAGTCTGTCAAATCAATGTGTACCCTGAGAAGATGGTGAGAGTGAACATGGGTAAATGGCAGGACAATAATTGTCTGAGGCACACGTGTTCTTTCTAGGAACACTCAATATATTCTGGGAACATTCTGCTAATACTAAGACATCAATATTTTCTTCTACTTTAGCAGACATGGGCCATAATTGATTCAGGTCTTAACCTGTTACAGGAACAACATTGCTCATTATTTTGTCATCATATGTATCACTTTAACAAGCAGCATAGATTATATATCTTCATATGCTGGTGTTTTTAGTATTTTTTATTTTTGTAAAATATATACTACATAAAATTGATCTTTTCTCTGAAGGTTCTAGGACCATCACCACCATGCATTTTCATGACTCCTTTTATCTTATAAAACTAAACAATCAACAACTATTATTACATGATAAAGTCAAATCTTTTCAGTCCTCCCACCTGACCCAGCCCCTGGCAAGCCATCAATCTTTCTGTAATTATCATTAGTACTCTGGACATCCCATGACTGTTTTTACCGTGGAAAACAGTCCAAAAAAGTTTGAAATCTATTTAAAGAAATTAATTCAAAAACACTGGTTAAAGTGCGGTGAGAAAAGCCTTATTTTGGACCATCATCATAAGCTTATGGTCCACAGAAATGGGAGTTTCAGTGGGAAGATTAAATTGGGCTCAACTTCAAATACAGCATGGGCAGTGGAAATTCACAGCTGAGGAGCAGTGTGATGGAAAATGACTAAAGAAACATTAGGAATATGAGAGATTCTGGTTAAGCTGAAATAAAAGGATTCTTGCTGAAGACACAGTGTGATTAGACATCACCCGGCGGGTGGTGGACAATAAGAAACCTAATCTTGTATTTAAAGTGATGTGATATTTGGTGTGGGGCTTCTTGCTAAACTACTTTAGCAGGGTTATTTACTCAAAAGAAATTTTGCAAGAAAGTATGCAGAGGAAACTAAAAGATTGAGGCCTGGCTAAAGTTTAATCAAGGCAAAACTTTGACACATTTCTACCAAGTCCAAGTATATGCAATTTAGTACTGTTCAATATGTTCATATTACTATACAACCACTCCAATCAGTTTTACAAGATGGGAAGAGTCATATAGATAGCAGTAATGCTTGCTAGACGATGTGAGTACACAAAGTAAGTCTGGTCACCTCACTTTTCACATTGTAGCTCATATGGACTTCCACCAGCCTTTTCTTGTCACCACTGACCAACTAACTTACATCCCACCCACCATAGTTTGCTCTGTTCTATCTGGATCGTGATATTGGGGAAACCAAAACCAACCCAGCCCAATATCAATTCACCTTGGGTTGCATTTCTGGACCAGTGGGTGCTCTGCCTCTGAACCTTGTGGCTAACCTTGGCCACAAAAACTGTGATAAACATCCAAAGAGGATCTTGGAAATTTTATAACCACCCAGGATTATGTTCCTCAACACACTCAGAACATTCGCATGCCTCCTGTCCAACCTAGATTGGTTCCATTCTCAAAGTAAACTTGGACATTTCACCAGAGGTACCCTTGCAGAGCATTCTCAGTACATATGAGTAGTTCACAGGCTCTGAAA